TTTTTTCGGTCTTTTTGAGACAGGGTCTCCCTGTAGCCCCAGCTGTCCTGGAACTCACTATGTAGACCAGGCTGGCCTTGAACTCACAGAGATCCATCTTCATCTACCTCCTGAGTGCTGGGATTAAAGGTGTATGCCACCATGCCTGGCTAATATTTGGATTTTTAAATATGTTTCAAGGCATTAGTCAAATGATAGTAATTAATAAATTAATCAGTGACACTAATTAATAGCATTAATGGCCATGTAAAATACTTTCCACCGTGCAGAGAAGAGAATAAAACTAATCTCTGAAAAACATTTTCCTATTTTGTATTTCTAAAAGGCGTGTTTTTATTTTCCTGCTCTTTCAAGATGTGGATTCTAGTATTTCAGCCAGAAAATCTGAGGGTCAGTGCAATATCATGCATAAGTTTGCAGTGCCCTAGTTACTCTGATGTGAAATTGCTTTTCTCTGTTTGGTCTGCCTTTGAAGAAGGTCAGGTAGAAACTGAAAATAATAACGCACTGACTAGCCACTGATGGACTTGAATATAAATTTAAAATGAGATTCCTTTGGGAAGAGGCCAGTCAGAGTGGCATCACAGGGGAGGAACGTTCATTGAAACTTCAAATACATCTGAGTAAAGTGATGATAATTGATAAAAGCAATGAAAAGGTATCCAGGCAAGGCAGAGGAACATTGGAGAGCAGCTTGATTCAAGTCTATCATTTCTTCCAGAACATTCTGAGTTTGTGATATAGAATATATTTAAAGCAACATTGGTGAAAGACTCTGAAGATGAGGTTATTTAAATATTACTCATATTTTATAAATCAGGAAGAAGTGCATTTTTAATAGGATGTTAGGGTTTGAGTCAAATAGAAAGGGGGATATAGGACACTTTGAGCAATTTAATTTGTTTCAGTACTTAAGAGAAACCTTTGTTTACATAATTTTATTGTTACATGCCTGATGATATTTTTAAAAGCTTTTTAAAAATTGAAATGTAATATATAAACAGAAAAGTATATATATCTTAGATGTATAGCTTGGGAAATTTTCACAGATTATAGACAAATGTATATAATCAACACCCACATCACAAAACAACAACATTCCAGTGTCCCATAAGCCCCTCTCCTACCCTTGGAAGCCACCGTGACCTATTTCCTGTGTGGCCATTTTCCTGACTTCTACAGCATAGATTAGTTTTGTCTGTTTTTGTAAAATGGAAGTCATTTTGTATGCTCTTTCTCTGGATTCTTCCACCCAGCATGATGTCTGTAGAGTCATCTATACTGTGACATAATTGTGCATTATTCCTTCCCATCGTCCTGTAGCATTTCTAGAACAAATACATTGCAATTTGCTCTCCATTCTACTCTTGAGCGAACACTGTGTGAACATTCTAGTCTATGTCTTTTGGTGAACACACATCTGTTTCTTTGGGGTGTGTGTGTAGAAGTTGGATGTGTTAGACCTCACGCCTCTGTTCAGACACTCTCCAGTAGCTGCCTAGGAAGCAGTTTGCGTGGAGGAAAGCTCCATAGCACCACCATCATGTGCCCGTTGGCATGTCTCCTTTGCTGCTGTTTGCTTTTTTGCCGCTCTGGGTGGTACTATGGAGCTTTTGCATTTCCAGACTGATGAAGTTGAGCAGCGTGGATCATTGGGTTATTCTACTTACCTTTCTTGTTTTTTTTTTTTTTTGCCCATGTCTTGTCTTAGCTATTCTGGCCTTTATTGTACTTATTTTTAATAATTCGTTTTGTTTTGAGATGATACCATTTTTTAAATGCTAAAAATTTTTTTTAATGAGATTGAAAATGTATATTTAAAGGAGTCCAGAGGCTGGAAATGGGTGTCAGGGAAATTTATCTTGCGTAATGACCCCCTCTTTTCATTCTAGCCATTGCTTTGTCTTGCATGTGTCTCTGAAGCAGTCGTAAATGAGCTGTGTAGACACTAACAGCATCACACAATATGGCTTTTCCCTCTTTCAGATGACAATTTATGAAGACTCGGTTGCAAATCACCTCACAAAAATCCTCAATTCTGATGAACATGCGGTGGTCATATCATCTGCCCAGTGAGTTGTGGGGCTTCAGTCATGAAGTACTTAGTTACATGGGAACATAAAAGCTGTTTCCTATCAGTGATGATATTTCCTTGTGATTTTTTTTTCTGTTTTAGACATATGCATATACATATACACATATATGTATCTTTTCTTAAAAATTTTTTGGATTTATTTATTTTTATTATATGTGTGTGGTTTTACCTTGTCTGTAAGTGCACCCGAGTTGTGCATTGCCTGTGGATGCCAGAAGAGGGCATTGGATCCCCTGGAACTGGAGTTATGGATGGTTGTTAGCTGTCACGTGGGTGCTAGGAACTGAATCCAGGTTCTCTGGAAGAGCAGCCTGTGCTTTTTCTTAACTGCTGAACCATCTCTCCAATCCGTATACGAAGTTATCTTAAAAAATTAAATGGGGGCTGGAGAGATAGTTCAGCAGTTAAGAGCACTGGCTGCTCTTGCAGAGGACCCAGGACTCGATTCCCAGCACCCACACAGCGGCTAACAACTATCTGCAATTCCAGTTCCAGGGGATCTGATGCCCTCTTCTGACCTGCACAGGCATTGCACAAGATGAGTATGCTTAGACACATGCAGGCAATATACTCATACACATAAAATAAATAAATAAATATAGAAAAGAATTAACTATTCTAAATTTGAACTGTTTTTTTTTTTTAAGTCACTTTAGCATCTAATTTGCTTTGAGTCTATTTAGACGGTGTATATTTGGCTGGCTAATTTGAAACATTTTTGTCAGGAAGGTATAGGCATTTAGAGTTTAGTTAATCTAAATGTCTATTTGGGATGTATTAATGATTAATTATAAAATGGAAATCATATTTTGTTATAATTTACTATTTTCCATAAATTCTTCTATTTAAGGACTGTTTATATCACTAAAAGGAAAGCAATGACGAAACTTTTCAAGATGACAATTCTGCAAGTTTAAATTGCATAATGAGATTTTAGCTTAACGTTATCAGATTTTTAGTTAATTCTGTACATGGAGCCAAAACTAGTTGCTGTTGTTACCCAAGTGCTGCATGGGTGGAATTTAGAATTTACTTTTGAAGTATCCTACACTTGTGTCACAAGAACGAGGTCAGCTAGAGGAAGAGGATGAAACCAATTGAAAATTTTAACTGATAAGTGAAAGAATGCTTTTAAGATCCTGCCTCAGCAAACATTGTTATTTGCAGAAAGAGAGACAAAATGACAGAGAAGAACAAAAAGCAAGTAGGAAAGTGATGAAGCAAAACATGCGTTTCAGTTTACTACATACTTCATTTGTATGAAGCGGAAAGACAAAATTATTATAAACATCTTTACTTCTGACAGAAGTGCAGATAAAGTAGTAACCGCTTTTGAGGACATGTCCCTCAGGAACGGGAAACAGCGCCGAACAACAGGAAAAGAGAAATGGCCTCAGGGAGCTGACCACAGTGGTTGTTGCCAACAGAGATGGGCAGCACCCTATTTGGTGGGCAGTGCTGCTGGTCACTTTATGTTTGTTTAATGACTAATTGCTTACAGAAACACATACATTTTCAGTTCGCCCAGCTCTCAGCACTCCTGTTGCTTCTGGAGTCCTGGGCCCAACCCACCAGCCAGCTTGCCTGGCCACAGTACGCATTTGACTCTGCCAGCCTTGCTCTGTAAATCAAATACGTGTATATAGGAAATTTAATAGAACACAGACTTGAATTCACTCTGTAGTCCAGGAAGTCCTCAAATCTACAGTCCTCCTACCTCAGCCCCCCAAGTAGATAAGGATTATAGGCCTATACCACCTGACCCAGCTTAAGTACATGTTTTTACTTTAAAAAACTGTACATTCACTATTTAGGCTTATTCATTCCTCCAGAATATAAAGATGTTGTATTTCTTGTGGAATATGAACTACTGGACCATAAGACAGAGCATGTTTTCTGATTCTTCCCACAATTTAAGTGTCAGACTCTCTCCTAACCTGCACATTCTCAGTCATTAGCCCTCTTGGCATAATGTTCATAGGATCAGGCTGTCCTTCAGCCTCTGCCTCAGGGATGTGGGGAATGGAGGAAGGGAACCTCGGCTGATACTTTCGCTCCCAAGCAGCAGTGGTAGTAATATTCTGGCGTGTGCAGTTTCACAAGCCTAGGAGAAAATTAGATCAGGACTATTAAAATAATGGCAACAGACTTCTAGGTTGGAGTTACACAAATTGGTGAGAATGCTAGTCTCTGCTTTCAGAGGGACTTCTCAGCCCATACAAGAAATTTTATAGCAGCCTGACATATTTCAAGAAATTCCGTAAAAGTATTACACATTAACACAGAAGAAAATAATTAGATATGAAGCACATATTCTAGACATTCTAGAATGAATGTCTAGAAAACAGTAGGTTCTTTATAGAAATTGGAATTTAAAAGTCAGCCAAGAAAGCTGGGTCTATACCTCAGTGCTTGTTTAGCATGCATGAGGCCCAGGTTCCATATCTAGCACCAGGAAGCAGATAAGGGCTAGCTGGTTAAGAGATGCCACCTTTTGTGCAAGCAAATCTAGAAGTGATTGCCCCTAAACAACGAATGGAGCAGAAGTTGTTGGGGATATAATGCAGTTCTTTCCTAGAGGATCGATGTGAAGTTTTAGAGTATATGTGTATGCATAAGTATATGTTCTGTGCCTACAGGTTTCATTACGTTTAAGTACCTGGAAGCTGACTATTATGCCACTCACCTGCCAGGGAAAGTTGTCAACTTAATAACCACTGGGACATTTGTCTCTCTTTTTCTTTATAATTCTTCAATCATTATCAAAGGTAGAGAGTGATTCCATACTTTTAAAATGTTTTCTGTCAGCATACATATTTGCTAAAATAAATCTAATCTTATACCATCCCACTAGTTATTTTTTATAAAATTTTTTGAAACACAGATTTGTTTCACATTGTTTTTTTTTCTAATGGTTTATTAGAAGGAAACCAAATGTAATTAAAAGAATTTTAAATTATTTTGCAAAGAAGCCAAATGTAATTAAAAGAAACAAACAAGTAAACCATATATTGCTGACACTAACGAGACCTAAATTGAATTAGTTTTGTATATTATTGCATTGGTTATCTTAAGGGGAAAAAATGGATGAGTTTACAGAGAATTAACTCAATTCAGGTGACAGATTGGTTGGTAACCTAAGATACAACCTCTTCCCTCTTCCGGAACAATGTGCTATCAATATATACATATGCTGAGTAGTAGATCCAATAATGACATTAGTGATAGAGCTGTGCTGATTTGTTCAACAGTATGGTTTCAGTTGTGAAAATATGCAGGCTGTGGGAGATAATACATTACTTTTTAATAAAAAGTACCTGTTCCTAAGATTTATATATTTGAGAATGGCTCATTATGGCTTTGACATTACTGTAAACTATGGCAGATAGGGTTTATTCATGCATGCATTTCCCGGCTAGGATGTCTTGATGCACTACACAGATGGAAGTGTGGTCTTATGTAAAAATGATGCTGGGTATTTTGCGTTTGCTTGCTTGTCCTTGTTTAAAATGCTGCATATTAGAGCAAATCAACTCTAAACTGTATGATTTCTCTTCCTTAAAGGATACTTTGTGAAACTGTAAAGGACTTTGTTGCCAAAGTGGAGAAGGCATACGACAAAACGCTGGAAAATGCAGTTGTAGCCGAAGCTGTGGCCAGTAAAGTAAGAGGAACACGTCAGGGCATGGAAGTTGTTTATTAATATTGTGAGCTCTGAACTGTGTTGTAAAGACAGTTCAGTGGGGCCTTACCAAAATATCTCAAGAGAAAAACTTTGACTTCGATATGAGGCTTGTTCTAGTTTCACTCTGTTGCTGTGGTAAAACACTTTGACCAAAAACAGCTTGAGGGGGTTAGAGTTTATTTGCCTTACAATTCCATTTCACAGCCTGTCATTGAGGGAAGTAAGGTTTGGAATTCAAGCAGGAACTGAAGCAGAAACCTCGGAGGAACACAAATGCTGACTCATTTGCTCTCTGACTTGCTTTCTGGTTCAGCACAGGACCACCTGCACAGGACCACCTGCCCAGGGGTAGCACCACTCACAGTGGGCTGGGTCCTCTTCCATCAATTAATAATCTAGAAAATTCCCCACAGACCACCTGATCTAGGAAGTTCCAGGATTTCCTCTCAGATGACTCTAGGTTGTGTCATTGACAGCTGAAACTAACAAGGACAAGGATTTACCAAAAAAAAACCTAGTTTATGGTTACCCTTCAATATGCATAAAAACTGTATTACGGGAGTCCCAGCCAGCAAACCAAATTTTGTAATTCAAATCCCTTTCTCAGTGATTGACCTCTTGTAGGGGCCTGCAATCAACCTGTAGGGAGCGGATGCCCTGGGGCTGATGGTCCTGTTGGGAGAGGCCTGGCTATCCATTTCCAAGTAAACCTTCATGGGTTATTTCCCTCCCAGTCAGTCCTGGCTCCTTCAGTTCCTTAGACTCTGACCCTGGTCTCCTGAAAAGATCTAGTCATTGCCTTTATCTTTACAGACTTTTTTTCTCCTCTTCAAGAACTTTTTTTTTCCTTTTAATTTTTATTTTATGTATATGTGTGTTTTGCCTGCATATATGTAGTACGCCCATGTACTACAGAGACCTGCTGAGACCAGAAAAGAGTATTTAATTCCCTGGAACTAGTGTTACATATGGTCGTTAGCTGCTATATGGGTGTTGGGAACTGAGCCCAGGTCTTCTGCAAGAGCAGCCAGTGTTGTTAACCACTGAGCCATTTCTCCAGCCCCTTCATGAGCTTTCTGGTGCCAAAGAAACCTTGAAAGCCAGTTTTTTTACTTTTACAAGTTAGTTCATGTGTTTCTAGGTACTTGTCCATTTCCTCTGGGTTGTCTGACTTGTTATGTGGGAGTTTATAGTTTCCATCAGAAACCGCTCTGTTTCTGTAACTTCTGTAGTGATGCCCCAAGTCCTCTCTGATAGGTAAAAAGTTGGCGGAGAAGGAGCGAATGGATGATGAGGCACCGAGGCACAGCTAAAACTCCATCAAAATAGGGTTTATTAGCAAAGGAACACATGGGACAGATTCCCTTCCAGGCAGGGAAAATGTCTGCCTGGGTCTTGAGCTTGGGTCTTAAAAAAGGGAGGCTTCTGCCTCCTGCAGAAGGCAGGAAGATGTATTTTTTTTTTAAAGTTGGGTAGGGGGGAGTGGGAGAGCAGGACTTTTAAAACCTGTCCTCTTTAGAGATCAAAGGGGAAGCCTGCTGTGTTGGCCAAACAGTGGAGAAAAGTCTGCTTCTCTTGACTTCAAAGACCAAGGTGCTTCTCAGCTAGGTTCCCTTTTCTCAGGAGCATGAGAAGTTCTTGGGATCCTGTTGGTGAGGGGGCAGGGCTATCTGAACCTTAACACTCTCACTCTTTCTCTGCTGCTTTTTAATTCTCATTTATTTCCATTCTAATATGTATTACCTCCTTTTCCCTGTTGACTTTAGATTTACTTTGCTCTTCTTTTCAGCCAAGGGCCTTTTTATGAAAGCCTGGCTGTCTTTGGCTGGATGGAGAAGGGCTTGGGAGAGCTTGGATTCATGCTGTGACTGGCATTTTGAGTGGAAGGAAAAGAAAGGGGAAATAAACATTTCTGAAGAAGTACCCTTTTTTTTCTATGCTATGAACAAAAAGTATACTCTGTGGAAGAAAACAAGAAACAAGTGTGGCCCTCTCTTAGCTACACTTGCTTCTGAAGTCTTTCCTCTGTCACTTTGTATTGGCTCATCACCAAAGATGGATAGATGGAGGGGGAACACACCAAATTTTGTAGAGAGTAAAGATACATTTGTGGCAGTGTTAACACTTTGGTTCTGTAGTAAAACAGGAAAAGCAGGAAGAAATAAGAGCCATGTACCTGCTTTTCTGTCTCCACCCCTGCAGTCCCTCCTCATTCCTATATGTTTTCCTTCCATGCTGACTTGAGAAGGCTCAGCTACACCTGCAGCCAACGATGCCAAAAATGGTGCCTTAAATCAAATATGTTTTTTTAAAAAATATTTTATTTATTATTTTTATTTTATGTGTATGAGCATATTGCTTGCATATAAGTGAGTGTACCCATGTTGTGCAGTGCCGTGGAGTCAGAAGAGGGCTTTGGATTCCCCTGGAACTGGAGTTAAGGATGGTTTGTAGGTGCCATGTGGGTGCTGGGAATAGAACCTGGGTCCTCTGCAAGAGCAGTCAGTGCTCTTAACTGCTGAGCCATCTCTCCAGCCCCTCAATTACTTTTTTTAAAAAAGCTTGTTTTTGTGTTCTGTGTCACTTTAAACTCAGTATTTGCTGTGTTCTTTTAAGGACTAACAGCTGCTTATAGGGAGTAAAGATGTTAACCCATGAGAGTTTGAGTGATTCCAGAAAAATCAATTAATAAGTTGACATAAGAGTTGTGATTTTCAGTTTTACCCAGTTATTTATGTCATGGGGCTAGTCAATTAATAAACGTTTCTCTATATCAAGAGCCGCTAACTTAAAGATCATTTTCTGTCTTCACCAAATTTTAAAATGGACCCATCCTCAAGAAGATGTCTCCAGAATAGAAGGCTGTAGCCTCTCGGATGTCAGTGTTTTCCTCGCTAATGATCGAACAATCAAAACATCTTACATGAAAATACGTTTTGTGTTTTGTCTGCCAATCTAACTTCATATTCTAATTCTTCCATCACTGTTGTTCTTGTTATTTGTTTTCTAAGTGCTCAGTCCTTAATGAGAAACTTGAACAGCTGCTACAAGCCCTGCACACAGACACACAGGCCAGTCGCGTTCCCCCAGGCGTTGGCCCTGCCATCCCTGAAGAAGATGTGGTGGAATCTTCCAGTGAGGAGTCCTTAGGTGAAAGCAAGGACCAGCTGACAAATGACATTGCAAAACCTTCCTCCCAGAAAGCTGTGAAGCCGAGGGAAATAATGCTGCGTGCAAACAGTCTAAAGAAAGCAGTGAGGCAAGTCATTGAAGAGGCTGGAAAAGGTACACGCTCATGAAATCAGCTTCAAAGAAGACAACAGCATAGCTGCTACACCCGTAACCGATTTGCATGATGGTTAGATTTGGCACACTTAGAAACAGTGTCTTCAGACTGATAGAAGAAAATAAATGCACTAGAAGGAAATTTGTCCTTACTCTGTATTTAATAGTAAGGATCAGTAATGGTGCCTGAAATAAGATTGCAGAAGTAAATTAAGTTGAAACGTAAATAGGAAAACGACTTAAATATTTTTTACTTTATTGGAATCTCTTTAATACCTAAAATCATACCTGTGACTACTTTGATAATATAGAAAATAATTTAACAATTTCATAAATTTTAATGCTGTTTTTTTTAAAGAGAGTATATTAAGCGATATTTAAAATTTTTTAAGATTTATTTTTAATTCTGTGTATGTATATGTCTGTGTGTGGGTGTGTGGATAGAAGAGCAGGTGCCCTTGGAGACATTGGATCCTCTGGAGCTGGAGTTACAGGTGGCTGTGAGCCACCTTATGTAGGTGTTGGGAACCTAACTTGAGTCCTCTGCAAGAGCAGTACATGCTCTCAACTGATAAGCTGTCTTTCCAGCCCCTATATTTAAATTTTATATGAATATAATGTATGGGCTTCTTAGAGTTTTAGTAGTAGATGAAAGTTTAATCAGTTACTAATGCTGAGAATCTCTTTACAGGTTTATAATTTGTAGCTGGGCTTTGTATTTTGTTGTTTTAATTTTTTCATAATTTTATTCTGGAAAATATATAATTTTAACATATTTATTTACTTTTATAATTTCCAGTAGTTATAGATATAGCCCCCAAAGCTTACTGCTCAATAATGTTTCTTTGTGAATGTAGAATTTCTTTTGGGACATAGTTCAATTTTTCTTTCCTAAGCATACCTTAATATGAATGGATTTTGTTTTCACTTATGCAAATATATTTATCTTCTTACAACTTAAAGTTATGGATGAGCAGACAGTTCACGCCTGTGAACCAGTTAATCAGTCATGTGACTATGATAGCACAGAAATAGATGAATCTAAAGAAGACTCTAATGATGATATGAAAGAGCCATTAATGGGTAAGAAAACAATGATGATATCATTTTGGAATTCATTAAAACTAACTTTGCTTTTAGTTGTCAACTTGAAATAAACTAATTGTATTTTTAATTTTGAAAAGGCTTTTTGGAAGTTAACCTTATTGATCACTAAAATAATAAGGCAACACGTTACTTAGGCCTATCAAGTATTCACACGCCTCTCCTTTCCTTGTGTATTCTAGAAATTGTGGTAATAAACTGAAGGTTATGGGACTAAAGATGATTAGATACCTTAGTTTTCCTAAAGAAACACCTAAGTTGCTAATTTAGCTTGTTTTAGCTCTCAGATACCTTTGGGAATTGCAAAAAAAGTTGCATGCCTCTCATACTCCAAGTTTGGCCCTTAAAAGATTCAGCGGTCCCCGAGATTTTATTTATTGATCTTTTAGGTTGATAATGCTTGTTGGTAAATCAAGCTTTTAAATCACAGGACATCTAGTTACAACTCTTTTTTTTTTTTAACCAAAATTATTTTTGCCAGGAAATCAAATCATTTTATTATTGCTTGAAGATTATTAACTGTTTCCCTACATTTTTGCTTTTAGTTGGAAATGAATTTATCCTTTTAGCATTTCATATGAGATAAACAAAAGGTTTTGAAATTACTGGAGCATAAGACAAAGCAGACGTTAATATATTCATGATGATAGGGGATAATATGAATAGAATTGCATGGGGGTCAGGAAAAGTCGGCATAATTATATCAGACCTGTTTGTATTTAAAAAATCATTAAAATTTGTTTTAAAATGTGAATTGATTACCTCCTCTGTCCTTTTCTTAGCTATAAAAATAAAGATAATAATATGCCAGTTTAACTGAGTTATAGTGAAGGTTGAATTACTTACTATACAAGTGTCCAGAATGGTGACTTGTGTACAATGTTGTATGAACTTTTGCTCTTATTATTATTGTTGTTGTTGTCATAATTATCTATTGCAACTGCTGATGTTAAGTGCATTGGCTGAGGAAATTTTCTCGAGTGTACTTAAAACTCTTAAGGAAATCAAAATTAGACTATAAAGCTTAAATTTTCAGCATACATTTCAGTACAGACAGATTCTCAAACTCTTCACAGATGGTCAGTGAGCCTTTGGGACATTTGCTTCTAGTAGTACATTCTACTCTTGTTGTTGACTGTGATTGTTAGAAAGCTAGCCATGGGGCTGGAGAGATGGCTCAGTGGTTAAGAACACTGGTTGTTCTTGCAGAAGACCCAGGTTTGAATCCCAGCACCCACATGGCAGCTAACAACTGTCCGTAACTCCAGTCCCAGGGGATCTGACGGCCTCTTCTGACCTCCGCGGGCATGGCACGACATGGGTACACTTACCTACATGCAGGCAATACATGCATACACATAAAATAAAAATAATAAATAAAAAAAAGAAAGCTATTCATTATCATGAACTTTCGGATTTTCTACCTTAGCATTCAACTCACGATGACAGACATTCATAGGTCCTATCATGTTGACAGTGAGAACTACCTACCTGCATTTGCTTGGTGTTTTTATGAATGGTTTAAGGAACAATTTCCGAAACGATGTGTCACTAATTCAAAGATGAGTCTGCAGTATTCCAGAGCTGTATCTTAGTCTTCTTCCATACCATATTCCTTAAATTATACTAATTTGCTGTCATAGTATCATACTCCCTCACCACCTCTGATGGCTTCTTTTGCTAGTCTTAACATGATGATTTAAAGTCATCTGTTTTTCTGGCTGCATCCACTTAACCAATGTCCACCTTAAAACATTATGCCCTGTCATGAACAGATGTCTCTAGATGTTTTCTGTAAGGCAGTAGCACATCGATACTCCTCTGCTACTCATTCAGCACATTGTGGTATTGCAAAAACTGATTTTTTTCCCAAATTTAATTACAGTAGTTTACCCTCATCTCCATGACTTTTTTTTTTTTTTTTTTCTGGTCTCTTTTATTTGGATTTATCATTTCATGCTGTCAGAATCTTTTGATTTTTTTCTATCACTTCAAATCAAATTTACTTACTTGTGAAATTAGTAAGCAGACCTTTGGTGTTTTGGTCTATTAAAACTGACTCCAGCAGGATTTGCAATGGCGTCGGTGCATACTCTGTCCTCCATACATAAGCACTCACTACCGGGGGGGTCCAGCTGCCATTCCGCCTTATCATGTGCTCATACACTCACCACTTCCATTGGTTTGAGACAATGCTATAGTTCTGCACATATTGAGACTGAGATAGACAAGATTTAGAAAAGTCTTTAACATTGCCATATTTGATATCAATTTTGCCCAGTAACCAGCTTTCTGGAAATCAATGGCAATAGCAGGCATGTTTCTGTATTCAATTATCATTATTTTTGTTGAATCACACTATGTCATTATTAAATTATGCAGTTTGTGTCTGAGATGTGAGAAATACAGTATTACTGTGTTCAGGGAGCTGCTTTATTTATGAAGAATCACGAAGCAGTAATTTCATTACCTGTAGTGGTGCACAGTGGCACAATCTTAGTCATTAGTACACTCTCTGCCTTTTATCAGAGGTGAACATCAAAAGTGTTTTGTAACAGAAATTAGTTCCAGAAGTCCCATCTGCCACACAAAAAAGCATGGCTGTTTCTTAGTTTTTCTTTAGTGCATCTGGACTGTTTGAACACACAGACTAGAGTGTAAAATTAATACAGTTAGTTTTTAATTAGTCTGAAGGAGAGTGAAGATAATTAAGTTTTAGAGTACTTTCAAATTGAGTTTAAGGACTACTGATCTTTAAAAAAAGTACCTCCTGATAGCCCCTAGATTAGTTAAAGGTGCTGTTTTCCCTCTATTAAATTGCCTTTGTTTAGATAGAATTAAATCTTCCTTTTTGTTGTTTTCTTGAAAGTAATTGTATTTTGGAATAATTTTTAAATGTATTGAGCTTTTACAGAAATATAACAGATCATTATTTTGAATAAATATTTGAGGAAGGCAGGGAAAGTATACTGGTTTTATTTGAAGATAAATGATATTTTCCCTTCCATTTCTAGAAGACCATGTTAACTCTTATTAACCACAAGTTTGCTTTTAGCTCTGGGAGTTATATTGATGAAATGTGGTCATTTGCCCAATATTTATGAGAAAAGGGGAATGTTGGTAGCATGCATTATAACAAATATATTCCATTAAATTTTATACTTATCAAGGTGTGTTGATCATATTCAAATTATGGGTATTATTGACTTCATTTTTCTGTCTTTTGAGAGAGGACTTCCCTGTAGCCCCAGCTGGCCTGGAATGCGATATGTAGACCAGGCTGGCCTCAAACTCACAGAGAACCACTTGCCTCTGTCCCCCGAGTGCTGGGATTAAAGGCATGTGCTACCATGCCCAGCCTGAATGTTACTGACTTTTAGTGAGTCAGGTACCTATTTTCTACTGGTAGCGTTGATTTAAAATCAAGACATTAATACCTTTCTCTTGGTAAACACTCTCTAAATATCTCAAGAAAATTAAAGTAAAGTGGTAAATGAATAGGTAAACATAATTAATATCTCCAGTTCTAATCATTAGTTTGAATAGGTATTCAGTTGTTATTTCACGTCTTGCATTTATAGGGACTTGTTTAATTTTACAGTATTATAATTTTCTGTTTTTAATCTTTTTTGTCAACAGCCAAAACAGCACCTCACTCTCCTGATGCCCGGGCAAGTCGTGGCCATTCTCAACCTGATTCTGTCCCTGGTCCAGCTATGGCTGCCACCAAAGACAACCTCCCTGTGCTCAATACCAGGATAATCTGCCCAGGTAGTACAGATTGTGAGACATCTGTGAAAATGCATTATTTCTCTTTTCTGTGAGCTACAGAAACACATTTTTAAAGATAACTGTTCCTCTAAGAGAATATTCTTGCTAAAGTTTGATATAGAAATCCAGGTCTTTAGATTTTTTTTTCTGTCTAATTGTCTGGGACATCTTATACATGCTGTGAATCCTGTCCTTAGAAATTTTAATTCATTATTTCTATGTTGGAGCCCAGGAATCTGTACCCCAAGTAAACCTGACATTATATTTGCTCACTTCCAGGCATCTTTCCTTTTGGTTTTAAGCCACTAGTCTCTCTGCAGACATTTTTTAGCCTAATGATCTTGCCTTATTTATTATTTTTAAATAGTTGAGATATCTATTCTAGCCCTGATTAAATGAATTTACCTCGGATTAGGCTGGTACAAGTAGAAACCCAAGGACTATAGGTGAGAGCTGGAGGGAGATACAGTATCTAAGAGGCCTCCTGCATTTATGCTAGTTAAGTTAATAAAAACCCTTTGGGCTTTATTCAGAGTATATAGGAATCCATTTAGACCCTGAAAAGCATCATCTCACGTAACTTCTTTTTAAAGCTGAATTACAATTCAAATGATGGTTGGAGACTTTATTACCTCATTTTCGTTAATGGATAGAGCAACTAGACAGATGATCAAGGAAATAGCATACTTGAAAGACACACAAAACAACAGGACCTAATGTCAAAAAAGCACCCAACCATCCAGAATGCACATTCTTCAGAAGTGCATGTAGAACATTCTCCAGAATAAACCATAAGCTAATTAGATCTCAAACCATTCTCAATAAAATTAAAAGAATTGCAATAACGCAATCAAGTACTCCCACCACAATGGAATGGAAGTAGAAATCGATAAGAGAATACAATTTGGGTAATACACAAATGTGGAAATGTGTATAGCAAAGCTGCAAAATGAATCAAAGGAGATATTTTGAGATGAGTAAAAACAAAAACTCACCATTTCAGAACTTATTTGATGCTGCTGAAACACACCTAGAGGGATGTAAAGCTGTAAATGCCTGCGTTGAATATGTACATTTATCTCAAATCAGTAACCTAACATTCTAGATTAAAAAACTAGAAAAAGAAAAGCAAACTAAATCCAAAGCCCATATGGAAAGGAAAGTAATAAATATTATAATGGAGATAAATGATTATGAAAAAGCAGCAGAGGGGCTGGAGAAATGGTTCAGCAATAAGAGCCTGGTTGCTCTTACAGAGGACCTGGGTTCAACTCCCAGCACCCAATGGTGGCTAACAACCATTCCTAACTCCAGTTCCAGGGGATCTGACATTCCACGGGCACTGTTTGACATGAGTGCACTTACATGCATGCAGGCAATACACTCAAACACACACACATACACACACACTCATAACACGCATGCACACACAAATAAGTCAATAAAATATTTTTTTAAAAGCAGCAGAGAAAATGAACAAAATTGAAGGGAAAATGTTCAAAGAATCACTAACACTGGGAGAGAGATCTCAAGGCATCACTACAGAACTTACAGAAGGGATACTAATAGAAATTATAAACATGTGCCTAGAAACACATGAACTAAGAAACTCATTCAAGAGAAAACAGAAAATCTGACGAGACCAATAACAAGTAACTATACTAAATTAGTAATTTTTAAAAAACCTAGAAATAAAATTAGAAACCTGAGCCTCACTCCTGGTAAATTCTGCCAAATGTTTTCAAAAGAATTAATACCAGGCTGGGCGTGATAGCATACGCCTTCTATCTCAATACTCGGTAGGCAGAGGCAGGTGGTTCTCTGTGAGTTTCAGGCCAGCCTGGTCTACGTAACAAGTTCCAGGCCAGCTGGAGCTACAGGGAGACCCTGTCTCAGAAAAGATGAGAGAGAGAGAGAGAGAGAGAGAGAGAGGATCAATACACAAAATAAATAATCAATATGCAAAAAGGAAGGAAGGAAGGGAGGGAGGGAAAAGTATTAATACCAGTCCTTCACAAATTCATCCACAAAATAGAAGAGGAAGTAATATGTTTCAGCTTATTCCGAAACCAGTATAACCCTGATTTCCAAAACAAAGCCATCACAAGAAAGTACAGACAAATATCCCTTATGAATACTGGCATAAAAAATCTTTAACTGAATCTAACAGTATCTCAAAAGATTTATGCACATGGCCAAATTGGTATTTCTGCATTAGTGGAGTTATCATGAAAAACTTGAAATGCAATATACTGTGTTAATCGAATAAAGGATAAATCCACACAAGTTATCTCAGTACCATCAGAAAAAGCATTAAAAAATTCAACACCATCTTATAAGAGAAACATTCAACAAATAGGACAGAAGGGAACTTCATCCTCATAACAGCACCTATGAAAAATCAACAGCCCACATCTAACTTCTGGTGAAAGACTGAAAGATTTATCCCCCAAATTAGTAATAAAACAAGGACGTCCACTCTTGCCCTGTTAGTCAGTATTGTTTTGGAGGATTTAGCCTGGGAAGTTAGGGAAAATAATAAGAACTGAAGGCATTTACATTGAAAGGAAGAAGTAAAGCTATGTGTCTTCCAGATTGATCTTGCATATAGAAAATCCTAAGGGACACGGACACACACACACACACACACACACACACACACACACACAATAGTAGAGCTAATAAATAAATAGTCTAAGGTGTAAAATAAATGATCAATATGCAAAAATTATAATTATATTTATGCACTACAGTTGAGCACTCTGAACATAAAATTAAGAAAAAGGTTCCACTTGTACTTGCATCAAAAACAACAGAATGAATACTTATGGATAAATTTAACATCAAAAGTGAAACACTGAAAACTACAAGATGTTGCTGAAAGAATTTGTAGACGTAACTAAATGGAAACATCCGAGTCCATGAATGAGAAGAGTTAAGTTATTGAGATGTCATTACTTTGTAAACTGAACAACAGATTCTACACTATCTTTATCAAAATCTCATCTGCCATTTGGGGGGAAATTGACAAGCTGATCTTAAAGTTCCTATGGAAATGCAAAGGATTCAGAATAGCCAAAATTATCTTTAAAAAGAAAGTAGAGTTTCAGGACTCAACTGTCCCAATTTCAAAAATCCAAAGATTGCCCAGTGCTGGCCCAGCACAGCTCTGTCCACCAGTGGGACAGTATTTAGAGTTCAAAAATGAACTGCATTTATGGTTAATTTTCAACACGTGCTAAGATGATTCAATGTAGAAAAAGTAGTCTTTTCAATTAATGATACTGAGAATAACTAGATTTCCACATGCAGAGGTTGAACCTGGTTTCCTGTCTCACTTTATATGAAAATCAACTTATTATTGATGAAAGATTTAAAGGTAAGAGTGAAAATTATGAAACTACTTTTAAAAATAAAAAAGGTGGGCTGGTGAGATGACTCAGTGGGTAAAGGTGCTTGGCCCCAGGCCTTACAAGCTGAGTTCAGTCCTTGGGATCTACATGATGAAAGGAGAGAACTGACTCCTGAATATTGTCCTCTGACCTATACATGCCCACAGTGGCACATGTACACACACACACACACACACACACACACACACACATGCGTGCATGCATGCATACAAAGTAAATAAATAAATGTAACAAAATATTTTTAAATAGCAAAACTGTAAACATTCATAACTTTGAAATAAGCAGTGATTTCTTAGTTACGAGAAAGAAGCACTAGCGACAAACTAGATCAATTAGGATTTATCAAAATCAAATATTTTGTGATGCAAAGGACATGATCAAGAAAGGAAAATGGCAGTTCAAGAACTTACAGACATTATATCTGATAAGAGACTGATATGACCAATATATAAATTCATAACTAAAATTAGGATTCATCAATAAATACACAAGTATTCTAATTTTAAACTAAGAAAGGGATCTGAATAGACAGTCTTCCACAGAAGATGTACATAGAGCCAGCACAGGTAAAGATGCTCAACAAGACAAGTCATCAGGGAAATAGAAGTCAAAGACAGTGAAGTTCCTAAAATGACCATGATCAAAACAGAGGGACTGAGGGAGTAGCTCCATGGTAGAGTTTTCCTAGCATGCTAGCGTGTGCAAGGCCCTGGGTTCAGTCACCAGCACTGCAAAAGCAAGGGGAAGGAAGGAGGAGGAGGAAGAGGGGGAGGGGGAGGAAGAGAGAGATAAAGCAGTCCAGGTGTATAGTCAGGAGATTTGAAAACATATTTATACAGCCAGGTGTGATAGCACACATCTTTGATCCCAGCACTTGGGAGGTAGAAGCAGGAGGATCTCTGTGAATTCAAGGCCAGCCTGGTCTGTATAACGAGTTCCAGACCAGCTGGGGCTACAGGGAGACCCTGTCTCAAAAAGAGCCCCCCACAAAAGGAAACATGTCTATACAAAAACTTGTACATGACTGTTTGAAATAGCATTCACAATAACCCTAAAGTGGAAACAACCTAATTATATTTTTGTTGATGAATAAACAAAGATGCTATATCCATTAAAACTCTAAAGAGTGAAATTCTGCTACATGCTACAAAATTATTATCCTTGAAAACATTAATCCAAGCAAAGAAGGTGAACATAGCCAAATATTCTGATTCTGCTCATATGGCATGTGCAGAACAGTCAAATCCAGAGACACAAAGTCGATTGTAATTTCTAGGGATCTAGAAGCAGAAGAGCATGGAAATTGATGGCTAATTGGTATAGGGCTTTTCTTGAGGGCAATACAAATTCTAGATAGAGTGATGGCTGCACAATTTTTGACATATACTACAAAGAACTTTATTTTAAGATTTATAAGGAATGAATTTTTTGATCTATGAATTATATCACCAAAAGGAGAATAAAATTTAAAAAGATGAATTTAGAACATTCCTGGTTCTGGAAAGGCCTCCATATCTAGAGGTCATTCCTCCCAGGAACTTTGGGAAGACCCTGCTGTGCTGGAGTTCTGAGTGTCTGCTCTTAAGACACTGAAGAGCTGAAGTCATGATGAGACGGTAGTTAATTGACTCACAGCTCAGTGGTAGAACACTTGCCTTGTGCAAGGCTCTGGCTGTTATATTTAGTACCTCAAAGGAAACATTTTTGAAGAGATCACATTTTACTGTTAGGCAGCTAGAGGCTGGCTCTTCACTATCAATATATCTGTTGTTTCTGTTTGTTTATATGTTTAGATATAAAGAATATTGGCGTAATAATGTATGACAGTGTGTGACATTAAATTGGCAGAATAAAATTCATCCTAATGGATAATCAACTGATGGTTATGAGTTAAAATAATAATGATAATCCTATAAAGAGAATACATGGTTGAAGATAGAAACTTTTGCTAAGGAAATCTTTGCTTTTTCAACTTTCTGTTTGTCGCATGTATGACATCACTGTCACTCTCCTTTTTTCTTGTCCTCAGACCCCATTACTTTGTCTTCTCTTCAGATGCTACTGTTTCTAAGTTTAATAGTGGTTGAGTAGGAACTTGTTACCATTGAATACCATAACAAATCAGTGGAACTCATGTTAAAATAAACTTGCAATTTTGCGTATTTAGAAGTGGGATAGGTACTTCATTTTTGTAATCAATAGTGTGTCCTAAATTCATAAGTACCTGTATTTAGTATTTTACTGTTGACTCTTAACAATGACACTGAGTTTTAATCTTTGTATGTCTCTCAGCTTTAAAGCATGAAACTGCATGGCAATTGGGGTAATTCAGCCTTTGTTGTAAATTCCTCTCAGACAGTTGCCATCATAAAGGAAGTAACACGTTTGTTGAAGCAATGGCACAGTTACTGGAACAGTGAGAAAATATCACAAAGAGATTCCTTTTCATGTCCTCATCTTCATAATTCCTTATGTCAACATGTAGATACTTGGAAGTATCAAACACTTTATGTTCATAAATATCATTGTTCATAGTTTTGGTTAATGAGATGAGTGATCACTAAAAACCATACTTTGGTAGCAAGATGTTTGAGGTTAGGACTGGATATGAATGAGCGGATTCTGACTCTGATTTTCTCTTAACATATGGTCTTATGTGTATTACTTTTTCTGTCTAGGTTTAAGAGCAGGACTTGCTGCCTCAATTGCTGGGAGCTCTATCATCAACAAAATGTTATTAGCAAACATTGATCCTTTTGGTGCAACACCATTTATTGACCCGGACGTAGATTCATTGTAAGAAAATACATGTGTCATTATTTTGCTTTGACCCTTCTCATTTCTGCTGTATACAAAATTCTAATGTTTTACATGTATCATAGTGCCTATGGTCGCATATAAAACAGTGGTAAGATTTCAGGTGTTGATAGTGACAAACAGGAGCTCTCTGAAATTCTGTGGAGTCTATGGTCTGTGGTCTGTCCCCGAGGCAAGACCTTTTCCCACTTGTCTGAGAGCCACTCTGACAAGGAAAGGCACAGCTCTTCCCACTGCTTCCTGGAGGCCAGTTTCCACCAGTATTTCTGCCATCCCCACCTCCGTCTTCTGAGTTGCCGATCCTGCAATCTTTCCACATCTAGCAGCTCAGTTTCCTTATTTTCAACTCTTAGATCACATTGATCTCTCCTCTTTGCAAAATTCCTGTGTGTGTGTGTGTGTGTGTGTGTGTGTGTGTACAGGCTAGAATTCATGTTGAGTATCTTCCTTGATCCTTCTCCCCGAAACGGAGTATCCAGCAGAGACTTTCACTTGAGTTCCAGAGCTCAGCAGTTCGGCTAGTCTAGCTAACCAGATTGTTCCAGGGATCCCTTCTCTCTACCTCCTATGTGCTGGGATTACAGGCCACCACCACCATGCCCACTTGAAATTTATCTGGATGCTGGGCATGGGAGCTCTGGGGCCTCACACTTGCATAACAAGTACTTTACTTGCTAAACCATCTCCCTAGCTCAAAAAAATTGCTTTTCCTATATCTTATTTTTGCAATACATTCTTCAAAGACAGAAACATGTTTTTTTTTTTAAGAATTTTCTTTCTCTTTTTTTCCCATTTTTTCTTTCTCTATTTTTTGTTTATTTGTTTTAATTAATTGATTTTTTAAAAAAAGGCAATATTTCCCTGTAGCTCCAGCTGGCCTGGAACTCACTATATAGACCAGGCTGGCCTTGACCTCACAGATAACCACCTGCCTCTGCCTCCCAAGTGCGGAGATTAAGTGTATGCCACCACATCTGGCTTTTCTTTTCTTCTTTGCATTTATTTACTTGGTATGTATATGTGTGTGTGCGCGCACGCATCATAACATGTATGTGGAACTCAGAGGATAAGTTGAGAGAGTTAGTTCTCTTCTTTCACAATGTGGGTCCCAGGGATTGAACTCAGATCCTTAGGCTTGGTGGCAGGCACCTTTACCCACTGAGCCCCATTTATTTTTTTAATTTAATTTTTAATTTTTATTTTATGTGTATGAATGTATTGCTTGCATGTGTATGTGTGCCCATGTGGTGAAATGCCTGCAGAGGTTGGAAAATGGTGTTGAATTCCCCTAGAATTGGAGTTATGGATTGTTGCTAGCCACTGGGTGGGTGCTGGGAATCTAACCCAGGTCCTCTGCAAGAGGAGCCATCTTTCCAACTCCTGGCCGCATATTTTATTTTATTTTGGTATTTTTGAGATGGGGTGTTCCTGTAGCTACAGCTGGCCTGGAACTCTCTATGTAGACCAGGATAGCCTTGGACTGATGGAGATCTGCCTGCCTTTGCCTCCTGAGTGCCGGGATTAGAGGCCTGTGCCACCATACCAGCTGGCCTCATATTTTAAACTACCAAAAACATTTAAAAGAATTGGGCCAGAGAGATAACTTACTGCCAATCCTGACAACCTGAGTTTGATACCTGGACCTCACGTGGTGGATGGAGAGAACCAAGTCCCACAACTTGTCCTTTGATCTCCATACATATGTTGTGGCACATATATGTGCGCGTGCGCGCGCACACACACACACACACACACACACACACACACACATTGTTTAGTTTGTGCGCTAACAAACTAAATACATAAATAAAACTTAAAATACCTTCATTTGCTGTGTGGTAAGCACCTTATATAGAAGATAGAAGGACTAAGACTGTCAAATTTAATAGAAAACTGGAGAGATGAGGAGCTGGGTTCGATTCCCAGCACCCACATGGCAGCTACAAACCGTCCTTAACTCCAGTTCCAGGAGATCCAATGCCCTCTTCTGGCCTCTGGAAATTGCACATATGTGGTACACTTACATACATGCAGGCAAAACACTCATGTAAAATTTTTAAAAATTGAAAAGCAGTGACTGTCTCTGCTTTGCCTCTCTTTTATGTCACGTGTACCAAATGTTATGTCTGCGTATTGTGGTTGTGCATGTGGGATATATGTGGGAAATGACTCTTGCTAAGCTTTGCAGTCCTGTGATGAATGGACACTTAGGTGGATTTAAGTACTATTATGTGAACAAGCTGTAATTGTTGTACTTGAGTTTGAAATTGACTTTCATGTATTTTCCCTTATTATCATAGAGATGGATATTCAGAAAAATGTGTTATGAACAATTACTTTGGAATTGGATTAGATGCAAAAATTTCATTAGAATTTAATAATAAGAGAGAGGAGCACCCTGAAAAATGCAGGTAATTTCAATAATAACAATAATGTTATTACATGAAGACAGTTTGATTTTAATTTCATTTATTATCTTTTTTGCTTTAAGGAGTAAATAAATAAAATCCCTGAGATTGCCAACAATATTTATTTTCAGAAGCCGAACTAAAAACTTGATGTGGTATGGAGTCCTTGGGACCCGGGAATTATTGCAGAGATCTTATAAGAATCTGGAGCAAAGAGTTCAACTTGAGGTAAGTCCATCTTGAAGTAAAGACATTTCAGATTATCCTGCTTAGAAAATAGAATCATTTGTGGAGCCAGGTTGACTTGAATTCCTATTGATCAGTGGTTAAATGTTTAAGGAGCAAAAATGGAAGTGATTATCTGCTGTGTCCTAGAGGAAGTCTAGACACACAGCAACAAAGCTTGACTTTATCATTCTTTCTCGCTTCTGGGACTGGGGCTGCTGTGGAGCCCTAGTACTCTGGGAAAAGGTGGAACCATGCAAACACTTTTATAGGACCACATCTTCGATGGCTTCTTCATTTAAAGTTTTCAAGTTTGACTCAAATCTCTGGTGCCCAAAGATTCACAGAATCCCTTAAAATAGTATTTGAAGTAAATATATTTTAATTTAAATTTATGTTTATTTTGTTCCAATTATTTCTAATAATTTAAAGAAAAGAATTTTGATAATTTTATTATTTTTTTTCTAATTTAAGTAGAAAATTAAGGAGAACAAAAGTGACAATCTCTGATAACAGGAAAAAGAAGGTTAGGAGCCTTCTTAGAGTTTGTTTGTTTGTTTTTGATCTTTTTGAGACAAGGTCTCCCTGTTGCCCCAACTGGCCTGGAACTCACTATGTAGACCAGGCTGGCCTTGAACTCACAGAGATCCACTTGCCTCTGCCTCCCAAGTGCTGGAATTAAAGGCGTCCACCACGCCTGGCTAGAGTTTATTAATTACTATAAATTTAATTTCTTTTGCACTTGGTCTAAGACATCTTGTATCATTTTATGACCACATGTTTTTAATTAACATATATTATCCATACAACAAATTAGTCTTTTTCAAGATTTAGTTTTTAAAATATTTTTTTTTAATTTTTAAAAATGATTTATTTAATAACAACATACTTAGAAGAAGCATATCATTACAACACAATTGACATATTCAATAACGGTTTCCTGAGGTAGGATGCATCTCTTTCAAAATTGGCTGTAAATTTTTAGGTTTACAGTTGAATTATTACAGTTATACAATATTGTACTCATTATAAACCCTATAAGACATAAATTAAATGATGTTTTAACCTTTAAAAAGATCTCCATTTCATTATTAAAATACACAGTTTCATA